GACCTTATTGTCCGCTATTGTTCAGGGTCCCCCATTGAATGCAGAAACAAACTCACAAAGCACCTGTTTGACAATGAACTTGCAGTTAATTTTTATTTTCAATTTCTTCTCTTTACCTAATTCTGTCCAGGAAGTGTTGGAAGTTATCCATCGTGGTGATGTTGTAGTTGTGAGTTTCAAATTGCACATCTGGGTTGATATCTCTACCAAAAACAAAGATGTAATCATGTGCATTACCACCGAGCTCACTTTTAAACCTTCCATGATAAACAAATCAACAACTTCTCACTGGGCCAAGCCTTCCATTCAGTCGAATTTTAGTAGGAAGAGTACCGCAGTGCCTTAGCCGCAGGTTGGAATTTTCCTGCAGTCAAATTTCATTGCTCAACCGTAACCGGTGCATCAAAATCTGTGTTCACCAAATTCAAACCTGCCTTGTTTTTTAAAACTGTTGTTTTGGGGTCAGTTGCTGTGATGATGGGCAGGCAACCAACTTGCCCTTTCTGTACCTTAGCGTCCTCTCTGCCGCCTCAACTTTGCTCATTCCAGCTTGGTGGGGCTGGAAGAACAAACGGTTCATGTTGGCCAATTCCACCTTGTCGTAGTCAAATAGCAGGAGCTGAAACACAAAGCACATATGAACGCAAGACATCAACGCCAACTAAGCTTGCGAGTGCTGTAGTACATGATAAATTTAACTGAAAGGAGAAATTGTCTGTAGAGAGTCAGTGCTCGAGTGCCCATCTATGAAGACTGTTTCGTATGTGTTTTACTACAACTGACACAGACCTGTACATGTACATTGTACGCTGAGTCTGAGTGACTTCTCACATATCTGAGCCCTTGGGTCAAACTAATGCAAGTCGAGTATGAGTCCAGAGTCATTCGACTTTGCAAATGAGATACCCTTAAGCATATTCACAGCACAATACTGTCACTTCAAACCACTGGATGTACTATAGACGAGATAGATTGTCAATTAGCTGTACAATACCAAAGACAGAATTGTGTGTGTACTTGTTGGGCCAGGCAAATAGAGACACTGCCCACATGTGCTAGTGGGTTTTTCAATCAACGTGCGCTGATTAATAGACTGATAGCAACTGAGAAGTCTTGTGACTTAAAGTGGGCATCAAATATGAACAAATATGCCATCCTGCCAGAGTGTTGTTTACTGAAAAATAAGCCAATTTTCAGTATGGTACTCAGCACATCTGTAGTCTGCGTACTACTTTACCCACCATCGGCTTTATTCTCAGTAAATGACACGTTATGACAGACTTTGGTATAGGAGGACACCATGTTTGTTAATGTTTGATACCCACTACGGGCTGTGTGACTTAGTGGGCGCAATTGGTCTGTAGTAACTCTGAGCGGAAAAAACAGCACAAATCCCGTCCTTCACGTTCCAGAACAGTACGTTAGTGTAATTTTGGCCGAGAAGGTACATGTATGCTGCCATTAATACATAAAGTCTACAATTACCTTTCCAATCCCACATCTTGTCAGCATCTCAGCAGTTACACTGCCAACCCCACCCACCCCAACGACTGCCACGGTAAACTCTCGTATTCTCTATAAGAAAGAAGAAAACAAGTTCATCAGTTCCAAGCCCTGTTCAAATAAATACTGCCAGGTATCTCTTGCAACTCATCAAAGGCTTCATAAAACCTACTGGATTATGAAGGCCAATGTACCGGGAGGGTTATGGGTCAAAGTGAAACAAAGTTTTAGCTTTAGTCAAAGTTGCTTTGACGTCTTTCTTATAACTTCTGTACCAGGTAGGTTACATGTACATGTGGAATATGTCCCACACAATTTTGCAAACTAAATGAATGTAAAAGCACATCTGCAGTACTTCAGTAAATGTGGACATATATGTACTGTTCCATAAAGGGCAAATCTAGACTCCTAAATTTAAAAATGCTTGCAAAAAACTTTCAACAATTGCATGCCATCATTCAGTTATGCAAATTAGGGTCCTGTTATTCTTACTATCGACCAAAACTGCTTAGTATTAGTATCTATGTTATGTGTTGATTAACTGGAACTATTTGCAAAGACTGTTACAAACTAATGATAAATAAATCTTAATTATTATTATCGGTTTATTATTTCCACAATTACAGATCTGATTATACCAACTAAAAGAATTGCAAATTACAATTTACTCCATACAGTACATGCATCTTCAAATTCATGCAACTTACCTCATAATTATCAACAATTCCCATGCGTTTAAGAGCCATCAGTCGACTGAAAAAAAATGCAAATTTAAATTACAGTGACAATTTGCTTCATCACACTTCAAGGGATATGGTAAATAATCAATATACAACAAAATGGAATTTTAATTGCACAGCTGTGAAGTGTATTTTCAGTGGGCAATAGATATCTGCGTGTGGCATCAGTCCTGAACAGCTTTCGCTTAGGCACTTATGAACATGTGTAGCAAATGTTTGGGGGGACTTCCAGTCTTAAATATCTCACGCCTAGATCTGGTTCCAGGTGTTACTGTGAATACATGTATACATAATTCACGAGTTCGAATTCAGAGTTAGTACATTTACAAGACAGGAAAGTTAAAATCCCCCAAACGCCGCACTCGCTACCATGGCTACATGGAGGAATGGCACATATTTGAAATAGCATTGAAAAAATTTTCTAAAGTACAGTTATCATGCTATTTTTGTTACTAATGAAACATCGCATGAATTTCGGTGTTAGGCTACCTTAGTACACGTACCTGTACGGATTGCTATCCACTACTTCTGCAGACATCTGGTCGATTTTCTGTCTACCTCCCAAAACATTTCCGAGTCCAGATTTTTCTCGTTCTCTGGCCAGCTCTGCCTCAAGTTGAGCAATTTTTTCCTTCAAGTCACCCACTGTCGCCATCGTTTTTGACGGCTGGCTTCCTATATTCTGTTCTTGTCTCTTTACCGTTCCGCTAGCTTCGATTAGTTGCCTTGATATTAATTGCCATATGGCGATGTATCTTCGACAAAATTCACGTTTACAGGACGAGACGGGCGACAGGCGCAGAGGTACCTTTGTAAATAGTGTATAGACGTCTAGAAGTCAAGCGTAGGTGAACAGGGAAAAGCTCAAGAGGGCGTGTGTCAAGTAAAAAGGCTGAACTACTGTCGGTCGA